CCATTTACGACCGACAGATCCGAAACTATAACCTGATAATAGAAAAAAAAAATACAAAAAACAATTGTGAAAAAAATGAAAAAACACTCCTGCTTCCAAATCGCCATTCATGTGCTTGAGATCTCTCTCCCTCCACACCATCTCATCATCATCATCAGATCTACACTCTCTTCTTCACTGAATTTTCTCCAGTAAATACCCAAATCTGACTTGTGTATTGAATTCAAACCAGTTCTCGATTCTCTCTCTCCTAATTTTGTTTCCTCTCCTGGGACAAGAATGGCGCAGCAACAGTTTCTTCACCAACGTCCCATCCAAAACCCATTCTCTTCCTCAAAATCTTCCCTCTCAAACCGTCCAATCTCCCTCCTCAGCCGCAACGGCCTCCTCCTCCTTCTCGCTCTCCTAGTCATCCTTGGCGTATTCGTACCCTGGGCTGGATCTCCCTTATTCCCCTCTCCAAACACACTCTCTCCTGCTCAATCCAAATGGCGCCAATATTCCCTCGCTGAAGCAGTTAAATTCGTAGCTAAGAACAGGACAGTGATCGTCTGCGCCGTGAGCTATCCTTACTTGCCTTTCCTCAACAACTGGCTGATCAGCGTCTCCAGGCAGAACCATCAAGACAAAGTCCTCGTCATCGCTGAGGATTACGCTACTCTCTACAAGGTTAACGAGAGATGGCCTGGTCACGCCGTTCTCATCCCTCCCGCGCTTGATTCTCAGACCGCTCACAAGTTCGGCTCTCAGGTGTGTATTAATCTCTTCATCTCTAGATCTTTAACTGTAAATGGATTAGTTGTTAATATAAGTGGGACGGAATCAAAGTGCAGTACTATGCAACTGTGGTTAATATTCACTGTTTAGACCCTCAAGGTTTAGGGTTTTTAGCTGTGTTTGGTTACATCCATGGCTCATCTTATTAAGCAAGAAGAGATGTTGAACTTGTGGATTTGAATAAATATGTATATGCATAGGGTTTCTTCAATTTCACATCCAGGAGGCCGCAGCATCTCTTGCAAATATTGGAGTTAGGTTACAGTGTTATGTACAACGATGTTGATATGGTCTGGCTCCAAGATCCTTTCAAGTATTTGGAAGGAAGGCATGATGCTTACTTCGAGGATGACATGACTGCAGTATGTGATCTTCTTCAAACACATCTTCTCCTTCACACTCTATTCAGATTATTTATTATCTTTTTTGGTGGCAGATTAAGCCGTTGGATCATTCTCATGACTTACCACCTCCGGGTAAAAAAGGAAGGCCTTATATATGTAGCTGCATGATTTTCTTGCGCCCCACTAGTGGCGCAAAGCTTCTGATGAAGAAGTGGATTGAGGAAATGCAAGACCAACCTTGGTCCAGAGCAAAGAAAGCAAACGATCAGCCTGCTTTTAACTGGGCTCTTATGAAAAATGCTCACCAGGTATGCCTTTGCTTCTCACATGTTTTAAACAGTAGCTTAGCTCTTATTACAAAGTTGTTGTGCTGGTTTTGATGAAATGTGAGCTTAAAAGAGTAAACCTTTGGCACTCTTGAGATTCAAGCATTATCTAACCTTAGCTCCTCTAAAACTCTTTATTGGGGAATGTTGGTGTTGTGCAGGTGGATCTCTACTTGCTTCCTCAGGCAGCATTCCCAACTGGAGGATTATATTTCAAGAACAAGACATGGGTAAAGGAGACAAAGGGGAAGCATGTGATAATCCACAATAACTACATTCTGGGTTTCGAGAAGAAGACCAAACGTTTCCGTGACTATGGTCTATGGTTAGTGGATGATCATGCTCTTGAATCCCCATTAGGAAAATTAGACTAAATTCATATGACAGAAATATATTGTTTTGGTCGCTCCCTCTTTTATTGTTTTTAGGCTGTGGAGTATAAAGGTATACACATTATGTATTGCTATAATTGACATTTGAGTCTGGCATTTCTATGATTAATTACTTCATTCAAGTCTGGCGATGGCATTTTTGCTGTGGTCAACTATAACTAAGGTTGCAGTGAGGAGAATCAAATCCGGATTATGGATTATTTTACACGTTTTAACGGCTAAATTAGTAAAACAATATTATCTACGGATATTATTGGATTGGTGCACTAATGGACTGTAAAAATCAATTTATAGAAAATTTTTGGTGTTAAAAAAAGAAAGAAAGATAAAAATGTTACAAGATTAAATCTGACACAAAATAAGAGGGAAAATCGCATAAAAAACCTTCAAGGTGGCAACCACTTACACTTTAAACCCTGAGAGTATTTTACAAGCACTTTAAACACTCAAGTTGGCAAATTTAGCATATTAAACCTCCAATCTGGCTTACTTGTACATCAAGTTAAAAATGTGACCGGTACTGTTCAAAAGCGATGACGTGTCGGTTTTTTTTTTTTTTTTAAAAAAAAATTTACGAAAAAATAAATATAAAAATACAGAAAATATAAAAATTCATTAAAAAATCTTTAAAAATTCATTAAAAATTGAAAAAAATCAGAAAAAATTCAAAAAAATCAGAAAAATCATAAACATTAAAAAATCGCAAAATAATTAAAATATATTATTAATAAAATATTAAAAATAAGAAAAAAATATAAGAAATTATAAAAAAATCCCAAAATAAGAAAATTTAAAAAAATTTAAATAAAAAAATGAAATTTAAATAAAATTAATATAAGAATAATAGATAAAATAAATATAATTTAAAGAATAAATAATTTTATTTGTTTTATAAAAAACGAGAAAACACTATATATTTTTTTATAAAAGAATCATTATCTTCAAATGATTCTCGTGAACCAAATCAAAGCAAAAAAATTAAATTCCAAGTCATTTTGTTCTCATTTTGTTGCTTATTAGTCAAGGTTTTCTGGATTTTATAACTAGATTAATATAGGGTATTTTAATAACGCTAAAAGATTTGGATTTTAACTTGTTTCCTTTGATTTGGTTCACAAGAATCATTTGATGGTATATATCATATACATTCAATTATACGATGACATATATATAATATATAATAGTGACACGAAAAACAAATAACAATATAATTAAAAAAAAACTTATGCAGGTGAAAGTCTAGGTGCTAAAAGACTTGGAATTTAATTTGTTGCTTTGATTTGGTTCACGAGAATCATTTGAAGATAATTAGATTATTGGGAAAATCGCATAAAAATCCTTGGAATTTAATTTGTTTGCTTTGATTTGGTTCACGAGAATCATTTGAAGATAATGATTCTTTTTTTTAAAAAAAATATAGTGTTTTCTCGTTTTTTTATAAAACACATAAAATTATCTATTCTTGAAATTATATTTATTTTATCTATTATTCTTATATTAATTTTATTTAAATTTCATTTTTGGTTTATTTAAATTTTTTTGAATTTTCTTATTTTGGGATTTTTTTTATAATTTCTTTTATGTTTTTCTTATTTTTAATATTTTATTAATAAGATATTTTAATTATTTTGCGATTTTTTAATGTTTATGATTTTTCTGATTTTTTTGAATTTTTTCTGATTTTTTCTGATTTTTTTTCAATTTTTAATGAATTTTTAAAGATTTTTTAATGAATTTTTCTATTTTCTGTATTTTTATATTTATTTTTTCGTAAATTTGTTTTTTAAAAAAAAAAAAAAAAAACCGACACGTCATCGCTTTTGAACAGTACCAGTCACATTTTTAACTTGATGTACAAGTAAGCCAGATTGAAGGTTTAATATGCTAAATTTGCCAACTTGAGTGTTTAAAGTGCTTGTAAAATACTCTCAAGGTTTAAAGTGTAAGTGGTTGCCACCTTGAAGGTTTTTTATGCGATTTTCCCCAAAATAAGAAGAACTGGAATGATACCAATTGACAACGAGGTTCGTAAAATTCATAAAAACAATCCAAAACAAAGACTGACAGCTAGCATATGATATAATATGGTCCACTTGCTTAATAAATATTTTATTTATTTTTAACACTATGCTATACAAATCCTCATTACTTTACAAACATGTGACTGATTTTAAAATCGCCACCTGCACATGAAAAGAAAAAAAAGGAAAAGAGCTGGTATGAGATGACACTGGAGGAGGAAGAGGAGGCTTTTGAGCAACCGCAAAAAACAGAGGACAAAAACCAATCGGTGGTTAATGATAAATGTCTAGATACCGAAGACCCTAATGGTGAAAAAATCCTGGAAGATGAAGATTGGATGAACAATGGGGATACTTTTGACGATGATGATCTAATGGATGAGGACGAGTTGTTCTATGACGAGAATCAACAGGAGCAGGAAGTCGATCCCTTGGTGGCTACGGGGAAGACGGTCTCCTCGACTGAGGCTTCCACTGAGGCGGACGAAATTCTTGAGGAGGCAACTGTGAAAGAGACACAAATCCTTCTTGTTGAAAAGGCTAGGCCACGTTCCCTAGTTGAGGGATCACCGTCAACCGTTTCTGACAAATCGCCAATGAAGAAGAAGAAGGGATCTCCCAAATCTATGGCTGTGGGCTTATCACTAAAAAAAAGGAATTTGTTAATGGGCCGGACTTCTCCCAAGATAAAGGAAGCAAAGAATGGGCCGGGCTCCAATTCTACTTTGGGCAGTTCGGGCAATTTGTATGAAGGCAGAGAGGAGGGGGTCACGAAGACAAAAAAAAATGCAGCAAAGGTGGGAAGCAAGCCACCTAAAATCCCAACATGAACACAATAGCGTGGAATTGTCAGGGCGCGGGTGCCGTCCTTACTAAGGAGCATCTTAGCGAACTTTACCACTGTTTTTTACCCAGATTTTTATTTCTGTCGGAGACTAAAAACAATCGGAATTTTATGCAAGATGTGCAAGTTTCTTTTGGATATGACCATGTTTGTACCGTGGACCCGGTGGGTCGAAGCGGAGGTCTAGCTCTTTTTTATATGGATGATCCCTTGGTTCGTATTTTATATGCGGACGAGCATATGATCGATATTGAAACTAGACTTGAGGGACATGTAATTTTTATGACATTTGTGTATGGAGAACCTGATATCAGATATCGCGATTTGGTCTGGGAACGACTGTCACGTATGAGTACAACCCGTACTGGCGCGTGGTTTATGATTGGAGATTTCAATGAGCTCACAGGTAATCATGAAAAGAGGGGAGGAAGACGTCGCTCAGAGAGTTCTTTCCTCCCTTTCCGAATCATGTTAGAAAACTGTGGAATGCTTGATTTTCCATATAAGGGCAATTCGTTTTCATGGGTGGGAAAAAGAAAAAATGGAAAAGTTAAGTGTAAACTTGATAGAGCAGTTGCAAATGAGGAATGGCACGACCTATTTAACCATAGTATTGTGGAATATCTACAGCTATGGGGGTCGGACCATAGACCAGTCCTTACAAGGATTCAATCATCCGCCCGATGTACCAAGAGGAAGAATTTTAGATTTGACAAGAGGTGGATAGGCAAACCCGGGTTTAAGGAAGCAGTGACTTCGGGATGGGGACGATTTGATGACATTCCAGTCCGGAATTTTCATCAAAAGGTTACCTCATGTCGGAATAAGATCAGTACTTGGAAAAAAAATAATCCGACAAACTCAGCTGTTCTGATTGAAAATTTAAAAAACATGATTGATTTGGCCCAAGACGATGAAAATTCCACGACTGAGGAACTAGAAGACTTGAGGCGGCAGTTGATAATGGCGTTTAAAGAAGAGAACACCTTCTGGGAACAAAAGAGTAGAGATCAATGGCATAAATATGGGGACAGGAACACAAAATTTCACCATGCCACTACAAAACAACGACGAGCACAGAACCGTATCATAAGTATTAAAGACAAACATGGGAGGTTGGTAGAGAGTGAAACCGAGGTGGAGACCGTGGCTGTTCAATACTTTCGGGATCTCTTCTCTACCTCCGCCCCAACAGAGGTTGACACCTCCCTCCGGTTTATTACAGAAAAAGTATCCCAGACCGATAATAGGTTACTCTTAGAGGTACCGTCGGAACAGGAGATTCGGAGAGCCCTCTTTGATATTAATCCGGATAAGGCACCAGGACCGGATGGCATGACTAGTAAGCTTTTTCAGAAGTTTTGGAGCGAGATGCGGCAAGATATCACTAAATTGGTACAAGATTTTTTTGAGACGGGCAGCTTTGATCCATTTTTGAACCAGACGAATATATGTCTTATTCCGAAGAAGAAGAAACCCCGGGATATGTCGGAGTTTAGACCTATTAGTCTTTGCAATGTTAGCTATAAAATTATATCTAAACTATTATGCAAAAGACTTAAGAGGCTAATTCCCCGACTGATTTCGGAGACACAATCAGCGTTTGTGACTAAACGTTTGATCACCGACAACATCCTGATAGCACAAGAGAACTTCCACGCCCTACGGACGAACCAAAGATGTAGGGAAGACTTTATGGCCATCAAGACCGATATGAGTAAAGCTTACGATAGAGTGGAGTGGAGTTTTTTGGCTACTCTGATGTTAAAGATGGGCTTTGATGAAAGACTGGTTGACCTCATTATGTGTTGTGTCACGTCGGTATCATATCAAGTCCTAGTCAATGGACAACCGAGAGGCCGGATTTTACCGAGGAGGGGCCTTAGACAAGGAGACCCTCTGTCCCCATTTTTGTTTATCCTATGTACAGAAGCTTTGATCTCGATGTTAAATGGAGCGGAAGCGGAGAGGAAGATTGTAGGTCTTCGGGTGGCACAAGCGAGCCCAAGGACCTCACATCTATTATTTGCGGATGATAGTCTCTTCTTCTGCAAGGCGGAAGTTAGCCAATGCAAGGAGATCATAGACATAATAGACATTTATGGAAAAGCATCGGGACAAAGATTAAATGCGGCGAAATCATCCATGTTCTTTGGGAACCGTGTAGACTACCTTCGGAAACAAGAGATAAAAGAGGTCTTGGGCTTCTCGGCAGAAGGAGGCATGGGGATGTACCTTGGACTACCTGAACAGATTTGTGGTTCGAAAACCAAAGTTTTTTCCTACGTACAAGACCGGCTGAACGGACGAGTGAATAATTGGTCTTCGAGACTACTATCCAAAGGGGGGAAAGAGGTTCAAATTAAAGCAGTGGCCCAAGCAATCCCGACATATCCAATGTCATGTTATTTGATTCCTCAAGGCATCACTGATAAACTACGAAGCACG